TTCATCGCAAATTGGAGGGAGAAGGCCGGCGAGTGACATCGATGCACGGACATAGCGCCATATATAGCCGGAGGAATGGTACTCGGCTCGAGATCGGCTAATATTGGTGGTATTGCAGTAGAACTCAAGCCAAAAATCTTCAATCTGGCTATCTCCAAAGGTTTTGAATATTCCACGGTTAAATTCATGGCCAGTGGTGTACGACACGGACGGGTAGGTCAGATCCAAGGCAAAGCGCCACATGCTTCCCATGCGCCCAGCGAATTTCTTTGCACGGCCGTACATTGGGACAACATCTGCATCCCTGGCATACAGACCACCAATGAAGGCACCAATGGATGTCCCACCAACAATGTCAACGGGGATTCCGGACTCCTCCAGGGCCTTAATAACGCCAACATGAGCAATACCTCGTGCACCACCTCCTCCAAGAACTAAGCCAACCGCCCTGCCACAGAGCCGTCGCGCTAAGCGGTGAAAGTCGCCCTTGAATGGTGTTTGGGCAGAGTAAAGTGGAGTCTGGCGAATGCGGCGAGATGTGTATTTCTGGATCTCGGCCTGGAGGATCTGAACTCTTTGCTTCAAAACCGTACCCAGCCGTTTTGTTTGGGGATGCGACGGCTCGGCAGTGAGGCGGAAAGCCATTTGAATATGGTGGTGACCTCCGTTGATCCAAACACGGTTCTTCAGCCATTTTCGAGTGGTTCCAGGCGGGCAATATCTGTCTGCATGCAGCAACACGAGTTCCTTTCGCGCCGTGGTCTTCATTCCGAGTAGGAATCTTTCGTACTCTCCCACGTTTGGGGACGACTCTGCAAGGCCAACCAGGAGGATACAGTCGGCCTGGCTAATGCATGTTTGAGTCCATGGCGAGTTCACATTGGTGTCGGCGATATACAGAACCATCCCATATTTCTCCTCCAAATCGGCTAGGTACTGTGAAAGCTTAAGCTTTCCCATCCTGCTAAAAGCATGTCGACCAAGGTGGTTCAGGATAGCTGCTTGGTTTAAAGAAGTCACACCATCGGTAACACCAATTTGCTGAAGAGCGTTCAGGAGCCGATTCCCGAACTCAACAACTGGAACGCCAGTGGTGATTGGAAGAATTCCAACAGTGCGGAGGTTGAGGGTTGACGTTGCGGTTTTGACACTGCCGGTATTACCTGGCTCGGTGCCTTGCTCAGACATCGGGTTTTCGACTAGATCCCGCATCCGCTGAGCGATGAGTTTTGAGACCTGGATTGTAATCCCAGTGTGCTCCTGGGCCAGACTGTTGAAGAGGGACCGAGGGAACTTGGCTAATTCGGTATCTCGTATAGCGTGCAACGTAGCTGGTCGTGTCGACTCCGTCATCACTTCCAACTCACCAACACTTTCACCTTGTCCATGCTCCCCAACGACCGTCATTTTGCCTCCTGCTCCCTCGAGGACTGACCGAAGGCGTCCATTCAGCGTGATATATATAGCATCGCTCTCATCACCCTGGTGATAAATGACTTGGCCAGCATTTACCTGAACCCACTCCAAAGCAAAATCGATATGGAGAAGCAGCCGTGGCAAAAGGCCTGTGAGTCTCTTTGCCAATGTCAACAGGGCAATTGGATATCGTTCCGCCAATCTTTCCAAAGAGGTTCGCGGAAGGAACCCTACGTAGACATCTGTCTTTGCGACAACATCGGTATAAGAGCGGTACGACGCCATGGCACCTACATAGCCCTGAATTCCACCCGGCTTGATCATGTAGAGAGGCTTCCGGGATTGTCTCTTGCGCTTGGGGTCGCTTGTAGAAGCTGCAGTAGTAGACCCACGTGAAGTAGCTGTCTGGGTCCGCTTTAATGTTGGGAATAGTTCCTCCTCAAATTGCAAGTGGCCGGGTCTTGACGTCCCGACAAGGTCCTCTCCCTTCTCGTTGATTTGGACTCCCACGTCGAGGAAACCGTCTATAACATAATACAACCCCGGATGGCGTTCACCCTGTTCCACGAGAACTGATCCCTGGGGAAAGTAGACGATTTCTATATCGTTACGAAGCTCTTCCCTCAAGTTCACAATAGGCGATGTACCGCCGGCGCTCGTGACAGACATAGACATGATCGACTCGGTTTCGCCATCTCCAGATCCCTCGTAGGCATCAATGAAACCAAATGCGTTATTGCTAAATACGGCTTTCTGACGGCGTGAGTCGTATGAAACCAATTTCGGTGATAGTTCACCGGAGGCATGACTTCCTTTGCGGAGCGCATCATGAGAGCTGCCTGTCAGGCCAATGCCGTTCATAATACAGTCCAATATCGACTCGCGGAATAAAGCATCCTCGTCAACCGAATCTTTCCGTTGAAGCGAGGAACGACGCATCGGCGAGCTCTCTTTATCGGCTAGTGGGGAATGCAGTCTAGGAATAGTGGCGAATTGATCATGCTTCGGGCCAAATCGAGAGAGTTGGATTGTGGAAAGAAGGTCTCCCGGGCTAACTCCAGCCGTGTCGCGGCCACCAGGGGACCGGTCCGGGTTTATGAGCGAGATAGGCCTCTGTGTCATCGCCATCTTTGCTTGAAGAGCAGCTTCCTTTCTTAGGAAGCTACTCGACCGGCCTCTCCTACCGGCGTAAGGGTTATGTAACGCAATTCCTTTAGTGACTTCTTCTGAGCCTAAGCGGTCCTTTTCTTTCAAGAATTTGTCTTTCAGTCGATCTAATGCCGCCCCCCGGATTTCATTCGGCAAGTCAAACGTTGTGTATTTGGTCATTTGTTTCTCAATTCCAAGGACTTCGTTTGTCAGGCCAAGGTAGGAGTGTGCTGTTGCGAATGTGACTCTCTGTAGCCGTGTAAGGATTACCTGAACTATATGGGCGGTAGCTCTAGGGTAAAGGCGTGTCAAACGTCGGAAGGCACTCGCCGGGATAATTGCAATCGTCGTATCAACCATGGCCCGGGCCACGATATCCGGATGGACTGATTTCCGCGCGGTGGGATGCACGTTCCTCGAGCGTCTAGGTCGAATCTTAGGGGGTGCGCGGCTCTCCGGTAGATGTAGAGGAGGAACCGATGGCAAGAATTCCCCGTCGCCGTTGATGGTGGAGTTATCGTCTTCATAATCTATGGGCGTAGCGGAAGTCGACCCATTCAACCCACCACCGGGGCTAGCAGGGAACGACTCGGGTCGTCGAGCAGGACTCGGCTGAACACTCGACATAGTTGAATACGAGCCTCCGTTCGTTCGCATTTGGATGTCTTCCGTAAACAGGGATAAGATCGAGAATAAAGATGACATCGCGGCACCATTTTTCACTTCCGTGAGCAGCTGATAACCTTGTTTTCCATCTTGAGATTGGCCCTCTTCGTCTGATGAGTCCTCGATGACCTCGCCATTCAGGTTGTGTTTTCCATCTCGAATAGACTTGACGAATATTTGAACCAGTCCATCTACAACCATGCAGAATCCCTTTTCTTCCTCGAGTTGGAGAGTCTCGCCCGCGATCAACTTCCTTGTTTGCATCGTCCGTGTCAACTCGTGAAAGACGGGTCTCTCGAGGTAACCAAACACTTTGATCGCGCTCAGAAATTCATCAAGGTAATTGGCCAATCCCGGTTTCGAATCACCATCCTGAACGTCCGGGAAGAGGTCGAGTTGCGGTTCCTTGCGTTGGGGCTCAGGGGGCAGACGGCTATACATGTTGAGGAACCGGTAGCGAATGAACCAGCTGATAGTCGAGACGACTGCCAGTACGATCAATAGCCTAATGAACAGTTCGTCCATACGTTAGCGGATCATAACTATATCCAAAACAGCAATTGAGGGCAGGCGCTCAATGACGCAGCTCTTACAGTGTTGTGAAATTCATTGTGAACGTCAAGCTCGTGGAAAAGAGCGTGAAGAGCCATGTCGGCAATGTGATGGTCGTGAAGGTGATTATCCAGTATAAAACACTCGGAATGGTCTGGAAAACCAGCGAGAACACCCAACCGATCCACCCCACCATTGTCGTAGGAGTGGGCAGAGACACCAGCGGGGGCGGGGGAAGATGGTTAGAGAAGCGTGGGAGGCCGGAGACACCGGCGGTTATGGCGGGAGGCGACGTCGACAGAGAGGGTGCCGCAACTGAGGGGGGAGTGCCAGAAAGGGAAGACAGAGATGCATGTAGAGAACCTAGGTCTGGGAAGTCGGGCGAAGGAGAGGATGCTCCACTGTCGGCCATCCTCACGTCAAACTTGAATAATAATGGGGAGCGACGCTAAACTGGGCAGCTAAGCAAATCCAAGGCAGCAGAACTCCTCACCCGGAGAAGCTGCAACCATTCAGAAAGCGAGCAAAAAACAAGACCATCTCCAAAGCGAGCCGCAACGTGCCCGCATATCGCCCGTTGGCTGGCTGTCGATCGCGTATGCCCCTGCCCAAGCGGGTTCGTCGAAGAGGGGGGACTGATGTTCGTCGTTCGTCAAGGTCAAGGGTAAGTTCGGAGGTATTCGCCAAGAGAAAATACACAGGCGAGTCAAATCACCCGCATTTCTCAGTCGAGTCGCGAAGTGTTGATGTGATGGAGAAGTCACTGTTGATCTGGAGCTTCTTCACCTGCCGCCCTCACATGATTCCCGGCAACAAGTGAACTGAGACTACGGTGATTCTTCAAACTTGGTTTTTCCTTATTTCTACTAGAGCCACATTTCGTGAAAAGGCTTTGATTATTGGTGGATGGTCAGAATCGAATCAAAACTACACTTTATGCCCATCACCTCCACTTTCGTTCCTATACCCAGGGTGGAATATATATCGTGCTGCTGTGCTGCAGAGCGGACTCTAGTAGAATGCGAGCATGGCTTGATCGGCAACCAAAATAGCTTTTCATAGGCAATATAAGGGTTTTATTTAGTCCGTAGTCACAGACTGCAATCCTACATTCAATCTGCAAAAAAATCCTGCCCATCGTAGTATACATCCTGGACGCTGTACTTGTATCAGGCTGGGCCCATTTTCTGCCGCTCCCCAAGCCTTTCTCCGCCCGGCCACGTTCTCTCGATCGTTGCGCGTCCGAGCTCCAGGCTCCGACTTCCTGTCTTGCGCCTGCTTCTCACTTTTGTCGTATTATTTCGTTTTTCCCTCGTCTGCTCCTCATTATTAGATTTAGCTGTGGCCTTGGCCCACAGGCCCGCCACCGTCATGTTTCAGGTATACTCGCTAGTCCAGCCGAATATTTACTTGTCAACCGTTTCTCCGCTCCGGGGAGACTTTACGATCCATAGGGCTGACGGATAAATAAATTGAATAGCGTCTCCGCGATGCCATAGACTCGCGAATTGCTGAAGAGCAGGCTCGACAGCGATCGTCTCAGGAGTCCCTCGCTCGCTCCAACTCCGCACGCCGGCCCCCTGGCCGCAACCTGTCCCCGGGCAGACGACCGGCCAGACCCCGACGGAATACTGGAACACCTGTGCGCGGACCGGATCCTACTGAATTCGAGCCTGAGTTTGCAATCGGTGACGATGATTCATCCAGCAGACCAGACACTCCTCGGCCGGAGTCGTCAGGCGCCCCTGAGAACACCCAAGGAGAGAATGCCGAGCAGAGCCAGGGCCCAGGGGAGAACGCAACGAATGAGAAAGAGGGAGAGCCTGAGGCAGAATCAGTCCCAGCAGCGCCAGAACTGCCACCTGATGTGAAAGCGAAGCTGCGAAGGCTGGCCAAAATGGAGACGCGTTACCAGGGTAGGTCGTTGGCTACACACTGATGCCGGACCAGCTGCTAATTTTTCTGTAATGTAGAGCTTCTGAAAGCATATCGCTCCGCCCACTCCCGTGTCCTATCAATCGAACCGTTCGAGGCTGCGTTGCGAGAAAATACGCCATTGACGTCGATTGCCGACCCCAAGGCTCTCAACGAATACTTAAACCAGATTTCGCTTAAAGGGGACCTAGTAGGGGAGGAACTCAAACGTATAACGACTGAGAGAGACGATTTCAAGGTTAAACTAGAGGAAGCCCAGAAGTCCGAGAAGTCCGCACGAGATGAGCTAGACAGCCTCAAGGAAAGTGCAACCAGCGAAGGGCAACCGAAAGTTAGTGAAGATCACAAATGGAACGAGAAAGAGTCAGCAAAGGAAAATGAAAGGACTGAAGAGTTCTTCTCTTTTGACAATGAAATTCCTCGACTAGAGTCCGAATTGAAGGATAAACAGGAAGAAGTTGAGAAGTTGAAGACTCAGGCGGAAAACTTGAACCGAGATCTGTCAGTTGCACGGGAGTCGACTGAGGGCATGGTCCAGAACCTTGAGACCGCGACGCGAGAGCTGGTGGAGTTGCGTGACTTCAAGGATAAGCAGGAGTCAGAGATGGAAAGCCTTAGGACTACGAAGCAAAGTGAAATCGACGAACTTAGGTCCAAACTTGAATCGTCAGAAAAAACCATGACCGAGACGAAGACTGAAGTTGAGAAATTGCAGGCTGATTTGAAGCAAAAGACAGACAACATTGAACAACTCCAGGCACAAGCCAAGCAGTCCGGAGACGCCGGTCAACATGCCGAGTTGACATCAAAACTAGAAGAAGTTAAGGAGGAGAAGGAAGCCAACGAAAAGCGACTCGGGGTGCTTCAAGGCTTAGTGGATAGTCTTCGAACCCAGCTTAAGGAAACCCAGGACACCGTGTCAGGCCTGAAGACTGACATGGGCCAGAAAACGGAAGAGTCTGACAGACTGAAGAAGGTGGTTGATTTCCTTGATGGGAACCTAGAGGGCAATGCCAAGTGGCAGGAATCTAAGGACAAGGTTACAAAGGGTCAGAAGGCAGACTTCGAAGAGCTTCGACAGACCCTGGCACCATCGCAGACCCCGGAACCAACCAACGACAAGTCTGAAGCTACACCACAACCCGCAACCGCTGCAGGAGGCGTGGGAGCTGCCGGAGGCGGAAAGAAAAAGAAAGGCAAGAAGAAGAAGGGCGGCAAGGGTGGTGAGGATGTCAGCAAGCCAACAGGATCTGCTGATGCCGAACCAACCGAGTCAGCAACCCAATCAACTGGACCCAGTCCCGCCCTTACTGAGCTCGAAAAGAAGGTTGAAAGCCTTTCACAACAACTCAAAGAGAAAGAAGAGGCCATCAATCGTCTTGATTCCAAGCTGAAGGGCGAGGAAGCTCTGAAGGAGGAGATAGAAACATTGCGAGATGACCTGCTTAATATCGGCCAAGAGCATGTAGAAGCAAAGGACAAGATCAAGGAATTGACGGCGGAGAAGTCCGCTTTGGAAGGCACTATTTCCAAGTTGGAGGGCGAAATCACCAACCTTCGCACAGGTGCCGCTTCAAAATCAGCCGACTCCGAGAAGGCCCATAATGACCTCAAGGACGAATATGAGACCCTCAAAGTGAAATTCACGACCACTGAAACGGAGCTCTCAGCTGCACAACAGCTGGCAACAACGAGATTCAAGGATATCACTGAATTGCGCGAAACGATTCAAAAAATTCAACCCGAGCTCAAGAAATTGCGAGGCGAGAGTGCGGAGCTTAAGTCGACCAAAGATGAACTCAAGAGCAAGACGGCCGAACTGAGGACATTGGAAGGAAAACACGACGACTTGCAGGCAGAAGTTAAATCACTCAAGTCTTCGATCTCAGATCGCGAGACGGAAGTCAAGACTCTCAACCAGAAGATCAAGCAGGAGTTGGATAGTCGACTGAAAGCAGAAGAGAATTTGACAGTCGCACAGTCCGACCTGCGTTATTCTGAAAGCAGAAAGCAAGAAGCCATTGAGGGTAAGCAGAAGATTATGTCCGACCTCTCAAACGTCCAGGACGAGCTGAAGACAGCGCGAACGAAACTACGAGAGCACGAGCAACAGACCACTCAACTAAACAAGGATCTCGACGGATTGCGGGAGGAGATGCAATTAAAGACGGCTCAACACGCAAGTGCGCAAAGCCTTATGAATAGCATGCGCGATCAAGCTTCCGAGCTAGGCATGCAAATGAAGGAGGCCCGGGAGCGATGCGAGAGCCTGGAAGAGGAACTGGCAGACGCCCACCGTCTTCTTAGTGAACGGACCCGTGAGGGTGAAACGATGAGACGCCTCCTCAATGACATTGAGGGCCGCACCGATGCGAAGACCCGCGACTTCAAAGAAAGGATGGAGGCTGCGATTGAGGAACGTGACCGTGCCGAGGACGAAGCAAGTGCGCAGGGTCGACGTCGGGCTCGCGAATTGGAGGATCTCAAAACCAAGCTTCGTGAGCTGGAAAAGAGCTTACGGAGTGCAGAGGAGGACAAGGAAGAATTAGAGTATTCTCAGAAGGATTGGAAGCGCCGGCGGGATCATCTCGAAGCACAGGCGGAGACTGCCACGCAAGAGCTCAACGATGTTCAGCAGGCCATGGCTCGGTTGCGTGAGTCCTTAGATGAGAGCGAAAAACAGGTCCGTGACTTGGAGAAAGAGAAAGCAGAATTGCGTCGATCGGTTGAGCAGACAAACGCGCGTTTAGAGAAGATGCGCAAATCCAATATGCTCTCTGAGGATGGTCGCTTTGGGGCCAACCCGCAATCCTCACGCTCATCTATTGATTCTGGGCCCCGGAGAGGGGTGACTTCCCCAGTTCCGAAGACGCGCAGCCCATCCACTCAAAGAAGCGATACACCCACCGGCGGTGTTGACTACATTTACCTAAAGAACGTGCTCCTCCAGTTTCTAGAGCAGAAGGACAAGAACTATCAGAAGCAACTGATCCCAGTCCTCGGGATGCTTCTGCATTTTGACCGGTGAGTGTGCCTTCCAATCCGCTTCCAATATTATTACTGACTCAAGTAGGACGGACGAGCAAAAATGGATTGCAGCTATAACCTCAAAGTAGTCTGATATCGGGCCATAGTCCTCTGCTGTTGGCAAAGCAGACTTGCGTTATAGATGGATGGATGTTTTAGGGTACATAATTCTTTCTTGTCTTATTATATTAATACTAAGAATTTCAGCGTGCTTTATCAAATAGAAATGAGAGATCTCGGAGCCTAGACCCTAGAGAGCCGAGTTTAGAATGCATTCTGGGTTAGTATGGTTTATTGCTCTTCCGGTATAGATCGCGATGTTCAGTTGGGTGGAGCTCAAGCCGATGTCACAGGGCGGACGAGTTTTCCATTGCTCCAATACCTAAATTCTCGCTCTGCGACCAAGATCGCAAGAGCCCAATTCCTCTCTGTATCACCGGTTACCTCTTCATCATACTCAAGAGATCACCATGTCAGCTCAACCGACAATCAGACTCGCAACCGCGGACGGTATGTTGTAGTTTCTATCTTCAGCTCCTCCCCTCCATTCACTCCCCGCACCCCGCCATGCGAACTCTTCACTTAGCCAATTGCCAACAATCATACTAATAACCATACTCCCAGATGTCCCGCTAATCCTCCAGTTCATCCGCGAGCTCGCCGACTACGAAAAGGCCCTTCATGAAGTCGAAGCGACCGAATCCTCGCTCCTCGCAACACTCTCCTTCCCCGACGACGCTCCCAAGCGGGGCTCCGTCTACACCGCGCTGATAAATCCGCCCGCAACCCCCGAAACGCCCGCACCCATCCCCGTCGGCATGGCATTGTTCTTCTACAACTACTCGACTTGGCGCGCAGCTCCCGGAATCTACCTCGAGGACCTATACGTGCAGCCTGTGGCACGGGGAAACGGGTACGGGTTCAAGCTGCTGAAATGGCTTGCGGCGAAGGTAGTGGAAGTGAAGGGGCGGCGGCTGGAATGGAGTGTTTTAACGTGGAACGAGCCCAGTATTCAGTTTTATAAACAGGTCGGGGCGAAGCCGATGGACGAGTGGTTGAAAATGATGGTCGAGGGGGAGGCGTTGGATAAGTTGGCGGAGGGAGTATGATGTAGTATAGAAGAAGTATATTTAGTTCACTGTTCGCATATAGTCCCGAGAGCACATCCACCGTACACCCTTGAATGCGGGTAAACGTCTAAACGAGCTTTGATCTCGGTAATCCGGGCTCGATGAGGTTCACGAAGTCTTCATTGGTGCAGGGTATGTCCGAGACTAGGAAACTGATTTCCGGCTCGGGCTCGACCAACTACAAGAACAATGGATGCGCCATCGATGATGCACGTACCTAGCTACCGAGAACATCCTCACCCACCATGTCGCTCCCCAATAAAATCGCAATCGGCACCTCTTGCCTGGGCCAACATCCATCTCACGCATTAGACCACAAAATCCGCGCCGCGGCGCAACAAGGCTTCCAGGGCCTTGAAATCGTTTATGCCGATCTAGAGCACTACAGCAAAACCCTCCAAATCCCTATATCTACTGGCGCAAAGCAGATCCGCCAAATAAGCGACGACCTGGGTCTGACAATCATCTCGCTCGCACCCTTTGAGAACTTCGAGGGCACAAAGAGCCCACTTGAGGAGCGTCTCGCCCTCGCGCAGCGCTGGCTTGATCTCGCGCGCATCCTAGGCGCAACATATCTCCAAGTCCCGTCACAGTATGGCACCGATAGTATTCGCGATGAAGCTGTGATCGTCTCGGAGATGCAGCAGCTGGCAGATTTAGCTAGTTCGCTGTCGCCTGTTATCTCTATTGCATACGAGCCCTTATCGTGGGGCGTAGTCTATTCGACCTGGGACGATGTCCTTCGGCTCACGCAGCTCGTTAACCGCGATAATTTCGGTATTTGCCTGGATACATTCCATGAGACTACAAAGCTCTGGGCGTGCCCATTCACAGACTCGGGAGTGTACCCTGACGGACCGGAGAAGCTGGCTGCCTCGCTACGTCGCTTTGTGACGAGCATTCCCGTCGAAAAGGTCTTCTATGTACAGCTATCTGATGCTGAACGATTCGACCCCCCCTTCTCAAAGAGCCACCCCTGGTACCTCGAGGGCGAGGCGCCAGAGTTTACATGGTCGAAGCACGCCCGGCCTTACCCGCTTGAGACGGAATATGGAGGGTATACGCCTGTTACGAATGTGGTACAAGCTTGGATTGTTGATGTCGGGTTTAAGGGATGGGTGTCCATGGAGATCTTTGATCGGAGAATGCGTGACGAGGCCTATAATCCCGAGACTGCGGCCGAGAGAGGGTGGAGGTCTTGGGAGAAGGTCCAGGCTGGTGTGAGCGGGGGAAGTTCCAAGGTATGAAGTTAATTGGAATAGGTTTGTGGGAATGAGGTTGACATGTGACAGCTCTGAATATACCACTTGATTACGATAATGGGTTCTTAGATAGTACAGTATTCACAGATAACATCCGATATATTAAAGTCCCGTCACGTCAGTGGGCTTCCTTGCGTGTAGTTCTACAAGCAGATTGTACGCACACGATTGTTGGTCTTATGTAGTCAAAATATTTGCAAAAAGCTAATAACTTGGTTCCATAACTCAGTCGGTTAGAGTGTCGTGCTAATAACGCGAAAGTCGAGGGTTCGACCCCCTCTGGGACCATTTTTTGAATTTTACGGTATTGTTTCCCCACTACAGTACGGCAAACGCTCTAAGCAGAATGGCAAATATGCTTTAGCAGTAACTCTCTAGCAATCTTTTTGTGAATAAATAATGGGTCATGACTCATGGTGACCCGTATCGTAGTGACCGCTAAAAATATATAGTTCCATAATGGGACGCCGACTTTCAACATAGCAATAAAACTAGCCGAAGGCTACATAAAAGTGGCGTTTGCAATTTCAAATTACTGAATTCAGTGGAGCTTGTGAGCAATCGCATATAGATCCTTCGTGTTGTGTCCGGCAAGATAAGTTACTACTGGGCTAGTGCACCGCCCGGCGATTTCGCTGTTCCTCTTCATTCCTCACTCACCACCACGCCTCTTCTTTTCCTCTGACGGGACACGGTATTCGATTTAGACATTTTCAGCACCCCTAATCATGAACGGAACTGGATCCATTGAGTCGCAATGGCTGGCTCAATTAGCCGCCATGCGCCAGGCCATCGCAGACCTGAACCTCACGAAAGACCCCGCCAACGGTCAGCCCGCGTACGGCAGCGACCTCGACCTCGATCTCGACGAGAATTCCTCCTCCGCCGGAACTGTTGACGATGTCTGGGATCTAATCAGTTCCGACGACGAGTCTACTAGCGGACTAGACGAAATCGACGATCTGCCTTCCCCTCCTCCCTCTTCCGAGCTGCACGATCAAACATGGCTGCAGCAGAGATGCCAGCTTCTCGCCTACCAACAACCCGGGATGGACGCGAACGAGACGACACAACAACTAATTGCCGCGTTGGCTACAGATAGCGGCGATGATGAGTTGCAGATGTCGTTGGCGGAGATCGTGGGGTTTGACGACCTGGATTTTGTAATCGAGTTGATCACGCACCGGAGGGAGATACTTGGGAGCCTGGATGCCGGACCTAGGAAAACACAGGCGCAGACAGACGGATTGGCGGCTGGGACATTGCAGACAAGGGCTGAGAGGGAGCAGGCTCTCCGACACCAGGACTACCAGCATAAGAACTCGGCCTTACTACCGGAACAAGCTCGGCAGGAACCGAAATACCCGCATGTTTTCAAATCTCACGACTCGAGGAATGTACTGGCCTTGAATGGAAAGAGTTACGGGCTGCCGCTTGGCAGTAGGCAGATTGATGAACCGAAGTATACCGAGGTCGAAGTCCCAGCTTCAAAAGTTGGCACACTTGGACAACAGCAGAAGCTGGTTCCGATTTCGTCTATGGATGGCCTTTGCCAGGGCACTTTTAAGGGTTACAAGACGTTGAACAGGATGCAGAGCTTGTTATACGATGTTGCCTACAAGACGAGTGAAAACATGCTCATTTGCGCGCCGACTGGTGCGGGTAAGACGGACGCTGCTATGCTTACGATCCTAAATGCAGTTGGAAAGAACATGGTTCCCAATCCCATGGAAGAGCCCGATGCAACCGAGTTCTCGGTTCTAGTGGACGACTTCAAGATTGTCTATGTGGCTCCCATGAAAGCCCTCGCAGCAGAAGTTACTGAAAAGCTCGGAAAACGGCTTGCGTGGCTCGGAATCAAAGTTCGTGAGCTGACTGGTGACATGCAGTTGACGAAGCGGGAGATCGTGGAAACCCAGATCATCGTAACCACCCCTGAAAAATGGGACGTGGTGACCCGCAAGAGCACAGGAGACACAGAGCTTGTGCAAAAGGTCCGCTTGTTGATTATTGATGAGGTCCACATGCTTCACGATGAGCGAGGTGCGGTTATCGAATCATTGGTAGCTCGTACTCAGAGGCAGGTCGAAAGCACCCAATCGCTTATTCGCATCGTCGGTCTGTCAGCAACACTTCCAAACTATGTCGACGTCGCCGATTTCCTCAAGGTTAATAAGATGGCGGGACTGTTCTTTTTCGATTCGTCTTTTCGACCAGTGCCTCTTGAACAGCATTTTATCGGCGTTAAGGGGAAGGCGGGCTCTAAACAATCTCGCGAGAATATCGATACAGTTGCTTTTGAGAAGGTCCGGGACATGCTTGAACGAGGCCATCAGGTCATGGTATTCGTGCACTCGCGCAAAGACACAGTACTGACAGCACGGATGATGAAGCAAATGGCCGTCCAAGATGGTTGCGAGGCGCTCTTCAGCTGCCACGAGCACGAAAACTATTCTAACGCCCTTCGGGACATGAAGCATGCGCGCGCTCGCGAACTTCGTGACTTATTTTCGAGTGGATTCGGTACCCATCATGCCGGAATGAGCCGAAGTGACCGAAACCTCATGGAGCGTATGTTTTCGGAGGGGCTCATCAAGGTTCTCTGCTGTACGGCTACGCTTGCCTGGGGTGTTAACCTTCCAGCTGCGGCGGTCGTCATCAAGGGAACTCAACTATACAATCCCCAGGAGGGTAAATTCGTCGACCTTGGTATACTGGATGTCATGCAGATTTTTGGTCGTGCTGGTCGTCCTCAGTTCCAGGATACAGGTATTGGGTTCATCTGTACAACCCATGACAAGCTGAACCACTATCTCTCTGCGGTTACTTCGCAGCAACCGATTGAATCTCGTTTCTCCGGCCGACTTGTGGACAACTTGAATGCTGAGATCTCGCTTGGAACAGTTACGTCCATTCCGGAAGCAGTGCAGTGGCTGGGATATTCCTATCTATTTGTTCGCATGAAGCGGGAGCCCCGGAACTACGGTATCGATCATGCTGAAATGGTAGACGACCCTATGCTTGTCCAGAGGCGCCGCCAACTCATCGTTCAGGCGGCCCTCGTCCTGCAAAAGAGTCAGATGATTATCTACAACGAGAAAACGGACGAGCTCCGGGCCAAAGATGTTGGGCGGATTGCAAGTCAATACTACGTCCTCCAGACAAGTATTGAGATCTTCAACGAGTTGATGCGACCCCGATCTGGCGAGGCTGACGTTTTGCGAATGATTAGTATGAGTGGTGAATTCGACAACATCCAATCTCGCGATAGTGAGTCGAAAGAGCTCACCCGACTTCGCGAGGAAGCGGTCCAGACTGAAGTGGAAGGAGGAAATGATTCTGCTCACGCAAAGACCAACATTCTACTCCAGTCCTACATTTCCCGCGCCAAACTTGAGGATTTTGCGTTAGTCTCGGATACGGGATATGTCGCCCAGAACGCGGCACGTATCTGTCGCGCTTTGTTCATGATTGCCTTGAACCGGCACTGGGGGTATCAATGTCAGGTACTTCTTTCCATGTGCAAGTCTATCGAGAAGCAGATGTGGCCTTTCGATCACCCATTCCGTCAATTCGACCTGCCGCAGCCAATTTTGAGGAACCTGGATGAGAGATTACCATCATCATCGGTCGAATCAATGAGGGACATGGAAACCGCAGAACTTGGCGAACTCGTACACAACACTAAGATGGGAAAGACACTGGGAAAGTTGTTGGATAACTTCCCGACTCTTAGTGTTGAGGCCGAGATTGCGCCACTAAATCGCGATGTTTTGCGCGTCCGCTTAAGTCTCTATCCCGAATTCACCTGGAATGACCGACACCATGGTGCATCCGAGTCTTACTGGGTTTGGGTTGAGAACTCAGAAACATCGGAGATCTATCACCATGAATATTTCATTCTCAGCAGGAAGAAGCTCTATGATGAACACGAACTGAACTTTACCATTCCACTTTCGGATCCCCTGCCCAGCCAAATCTACGTTCGAGCCATATCTGATCGTTGGCTGGGAGCGGAGACGGTTACGCCAATCTCATTCCAGCACCTTATCCGCCCAGACACTGAGAGTGTTTATACAGACCTTCTGGATCTACAGCCTCTCCCTATATCTGCTTTGAACAATCCGATTCTCGAAGAACTTTACGGACAACGCTTTCAGTACTTCAACCCAATGCAGACCCAGCTCTTCCATGTTCTATACCATACCCAAGCAAACGTGCTTCTTGGATCACCAACAGGCAGTGGAAAGACAGTCGCTGCGGAGTTGGCCATGTGGTGGGCTTTCAGAGAGCGCCCTGGGTCCAAGGTGGTGTACATTGCACCTATGAAAGCTCTTGTTCGCGAGCGTGTTATGGATTGGGGAAAGCGAGTTACAGCGCCCATGGGATTGAAACTGGTCGAATTGACTGGTGACAACACCCCTGACACGCGGACAATCCGTGACGCTGATATTATCATTACCACTCCGGAAAAGTGGGACGGTATCTCGCGTAGTTGGCAAACCAGAGATTATGTTCGGAAGGTGAGCCTAGTGATTATCGACGAGATCCACCTGCTTGGTGGTGACCGTGGACCCATTCTCGAGATCATTGTCTCCCGTATGAACTACATCGCTTCCCAGTCGAAGGGCTCAGTTCGACTACTGGGTATGTCGACGGCTTGTGCAAATGCATCGGATCTTGCCAACTGGTTAGGCGTCAAGGAAGGACTGTACAACTTCCGGCACTCCGTGCGGCCTGTCCCTCTAGAGATTTTTATTGACGGATTCCCCGAGCAGCGTGGATTCTGCCCGCTCATGCAGTCGATGAATCGACCAACCTTCCTGGCAATTAAGAACCACTCCCCCGAGAAGCCTGTGATTGTGTTTGTCGCTTCTCGTAGACAGACTCGCTTGACCGCCAAGGACTTGATCAATTTCTGTGGAATGGAGGATAACCCGCGTCGCTTTGTTCGTATGTCAGAGGACGATCTACAGTTGAACCTTGAACGGGTCAAGGATGAGGCTCTACGTGAAGCGCTGTCCTTTGGTATCGGTCTTCACCACGCCGGTTTGGTAGAGTCTGACCGACAACTGGCCGAAGAACTATTCGCAAATAACAAGATTCAGATCCTTGTAGCCACTAGCACACTCGCTTGGGGTGTCAATCTTCCTGCACATCTTGTTGTTGTCAAAGGAACCCAATTTTTCGACGCGAAAATTGAAGGATACAGGGACATGGACTTGACGGATGTTTTGCAAATGTTGGGTCGGGCTGGGCGTCCCCAGTTCGATTCATCTGGTATTGCGCGTATCTTCACGCAGGACTCGAAGAAGGCATTCTATAAACACTTCCTGCATACCGGATTCCCTGTTGAGTCGACCCTGCACAAGGTTTTGGATAACCACTTGGGTGCCGAAGTCTCTGCTGGCACTATCACCACTAAGCAAGACGCTCTGGACTATCTTACTTGGACGTTCTTCTTCCGACGTTTGCATAAGAACCCATCGTACTACGGTCTTGAGATTTCAGCAGACCAGCACAACTCCCTTGAAGCACAGTCCCTCGCTCAGGATTTCATGATTGACCTTGTCGACAAGTCACTCGGTGAGTTGTCGGGATCTAGCTGTATCATTTTCGACTCGGCTACCGGCGAGGTCGATGCAACTCCATTCGGAAAAATCATGAGTTACTACTACCTTGCACACAAGACAATCCGTTACCTTCTCTCCCACGCAAAGCCTGCACCGACCTTCCATGACGTGCTCAGCTGGATGTGCTCCGCCACTGAATTTGACGAACTCCCTGTTCGTCACAACGAAGACCTCATCAACGCCGAACTCTCGCGCAATTTGCCCCTCTCCGTTGAACCGATGGGCGATCTCCCGATGTGGGATCCTCATGTCAAAGCCTTCCTTCTCCTCCAAGCTTATATGTCGCGCATCGATCTTCCCATCTCTGATTATGTTGGAGATCAAACTTCCGTCCTCGACCAGAGTATCCGTATTATACAGGCTTCAATCGACGCAATGGCCGAACTAGGCTACACAGCTGCGTGTCGCACATTCATAAACCTGCTGCAGTGCATTAAATCCGCGCGATGGCCAGAGGACCACCCTCTCTCTATCCTCCCAGGCATCGATCCATCCACCAACACCACCGATAAAAATCAAACACTCCCCACCTCTCTAACAGCCCTAACCTCCCTTCCACATGGCGCAATATCGTCCCTTCCCGGAAAGGTGCACCTTCCAGGCCCCGCACAAGCCCAGTTCACAAAGGCAACCACCCATCTCCCCCGCCTCGCAGTCGCGATTCCCCAAACATCCGAACGGGAAATAACAGTCGCCCTTACACGCAAGAACAACCCCACAAACCCAGACTTCCGGATATACGCACCTCGATTCCCGAAGCCCCAAACAGAAGGTTTCTTTTTGCTCGTTTGCGCGGCCAAATCAGATGGCCTGGATGGGGATCTTGTAGCTCTCAAGCGCGTTTCGTGGCCTATGGGAAATAATAACAGTGCAACCCGGGACAGTGGCAAAGGAAACTGGAAGGGCCCGAACAAGAACAATGGCAAGGGCCGAGGAAACGGTCCCATTACCACAAATTCCACAGTGAAGTTCCCCAAGGGTATTCCTGTCCCTGCAGCTGTCAATGTGCGAGTGATGAGTGATTCTTATCCGGGAATGGAGTGGGCTGTTTCTGGGGTTGAGGTTCTTGGTGAGACTGGTAGTAGTAGCAAGGGTAAGGAGGTTGAGACCCAGAGACAGGTTGTCCCCGAGTCGAGTGTTCCGGCGAAGGAGTGATATCTCGAATGGAACTAGGTGTTCAGCATGCCGTGCCGACCCTTTTAAGGCCTCGTTAGATGAGACAATGTCATATAAATAGAAAGTTTATATTTCATTTGTAGAACAGAAAGAAAAAACACACTGTGTTTTGAATATCCAGCCTCGAAGCAAGAAGATATCTCCCGCTATAAAAGGTATATATATATATGCTGAAAACAAAGATAGAAGTTCAACCAAGATGCCCGCTCTACGCCCTGCGCTGTGAACTGAGAAACGGAAAGCAAAATGCAATGGGTATGGAATCAGCAACTTAATAGCCAAGCAAATAAATCAGAAAATAACAAAGGAAAAAGAGGGAATATGCAACTCCCAGCTCATGCCGTCTCAATACGTGCGTCCTGCGAAAGGCCCGGCCTATGGCCGTATTCTGGATTCGTGACCTTTGGCGTTTTGGCCTGCCTCGCGACAAGTCTCTCGTTGCTAGAATTCCACTGATGGGCTCTCGGTCTAACCGGGACAATAACCTGCTTTTTGCCCTTCGACACAGAGATGGAGCGTGCAACGGAGACTTCAATCGTGGGAATTGGTCCATTTTCACGTCGGGATGTTGTCCGTGGTGGAGGAAAGAGGGCGGTCTCGTTGACTGACGGTGATACGATGGGGCGAGAGGAGACTAATGGCGAGAGGATCGGGGAGGATTTGGCCGTGCCGGTTGAGCCCGTGGTGCTATTTGAGTCCGAGCGGAGTTCTCGTGTGTTGATGGTGAGTCCCTTTGGGTGGTCGGATGGTGTTTTGCGTTTGATGGTGTCCCAGTTTGGTTCCTTCATGCCGGCGTAGGTGCGAACTGGTTCGACTTCATGGATGAGCAGTGGTTCATCGTCGGACCCAATTGAGGTTCCGGAGAGGAATGATGTGACGGAGGCCTGTGGCCGATGGGATGCTTGCGTTTTGGCTCGGTAGTCTGGTGTGAGTGTGCGTTGGCTCTTTTCGTCTGATAGCCTTTTGTGAGGGGCGTCTTCCGGAGACGTCTGGGGTCTGCGTAAATGATTTGGAGCTTGAGGTAGGTTCTGGGTCCCTAGAACTTGCGAAGCTTTACTAGATGACATTGTCGGGAATAGGGTAAAATTAGGGGATCTTGAGGGTGCTGGGGAGGTCGCTCGTCGTTGTGGCGGGCCCAGCGGGGGAGGTGACTAGGGAGCATGAGAAGAGGCGCATGGCTAAAGATCGAATAGGAACAAGATACTCACCTCTCTACCAGGAATGGTCACGTTGTCTAGTGTCTTGCTTCGTCTATCCAACAGTGAGGGTCGATTGTTGTTTAGAAGACCACCAAACATCACGCTGTACCTTTCCATCTCGACTTGTGGGATTTCAACCTGAAGAAGCGACCCAGGAACTTTCGGCTTGGAGGAGTCTTGCTTGTGAGCTAGAGCTTCATTTTCCGAAACAAGACACGGCCATACTTCTGTGTTCTCAATAGGTCCAGTTTTGGTACCAGGCCTCCGCCGAGACCTGTAGTCTATTGAATGAGTAGAACCCTGCTGCGGAATCTCGTCCGGGGCGCGAACCTGATAAAACGGTTTGGTGTCATTTGTGTTTGAAGCAAGCGCGTTCCTTGCTTTGAATAGACCTCCAATCTTCCTCCATTTGCTTGACTTCCGCTGTAGTGCCGAGGAAGGCCTCTGGTCATCGGGGGGTGTTGGTGGTGGGAGTCGTTGGTTTTGAGATGGCATGTTACGTGGTTCCAACAACCGCGGGCTTCCTAGGGCAATGCCAATCATCGCCTCATCCACTCCAAGGGGCGTATCTGACGTACGCAACGGTTCATCAGGAGGAGCAGTAAGGTGAAAATCGAAGCTGGAGGGTGGCACATTTGTTGCTCTGCTTACATCGCGTCCCTGTGATGTGTTGGAATATTGAGTGTCTTTAACAGGCTGATGAATTGGTCGGCTGTAACTGACGCTGCGGTCAATGTCCCGCAGGTCACTCCTCGGCAGTGCATCTGTATATCTCAAGCGCGGCTGGGAGATACCCTGCGTCTGTGGTGGCGAGCGTGGTTTCCCTAACATCCCTCGGGCCATGTTTCACTAGATTTGTTCCGACAAATTGGACAAATTTCGAATTAAAACAGTTGACTATGAATGAAGCGAAATTGGTGGGAAAAAAAAAGAAAAGTGGTGACTATATAAGGAATGGACAGTCTTCCAGAAGACCAGGGCGCGCACTCAAGTGTCGGAAAGATGAAGCAACACCATCTACGAAAAGGAAGGAAACAGCGGCTCATGATATTAAAAGGGCCATAACGCACAACCCCTCCGTGTCAGGGATCTAGTGGGCCTTGCAAAGTCTCACATCTCAGATCCCAGGTGAGACAAACAGCGGTTGGTTAGCGCAGGGTCACGAAGAACCGGCCAACAGGAGCGGTAGAGATAAATTGTTGCTTGCCGCCCAAGCCAGGTCGACATGTCAGTCTGAATTAAGGGGGCCAGTCATGGGTGGCCAGTTGACAGCCGCAGGAGCGGCTGATATTAAGGCATAAGAGAAAGCACCGTGGTTGCGTAGAATTTAAATTATCATCATGGGCCAGAAACCAAGCAGATACCTCCTTGGTGGGTGCGCTAATCTCAAGCAGTCGGCGTGAGACGATTTCGCCCATCATTGGTTTCAGAGTCAGCTGAAACAGGGCCCGTCCGACCAATGGACGTTGCGAACTTGGAGCATCGGAAATTGATATCCCAAATGAGCTGAGAGGCACAGACACAGATTCATATGTTCAACGTTGGATTGTCGAATTATTTTGAAGTGATGTTCGTCAGCGGCGGGTCGCCGAGACGGGTCTGCAAAGATCTGGTGTTGTTCTGGGCCGTCAATCCCAGGCTTATCGCCATCGCCGAACGTTCATATGCCCTCGTGAATCAACCATCAACCATGATCCGACAAATGGCCCGTGCAAGTAGCGACAATAATTTCGAGCCTGCAGAAACAGCGGTGAACTCTGTGGGTGAGATGGGTGGCCTTACAGAGACAGCGTTTGGATGACCTTAGGTATAGCGTTGAGCGCCAGGCCAAACTGGTGGAAAAGGAGAAGGTCGCATTTGCGGTCTACCCGACGAAAAGGTATGCGAATGAAAGACATCGGAAGCGGGAGTCACGATGACAGCCCGAGGAATCAAGGTGAGTCGCAGCTCGCGAGTCGGCGTTGCGATGCAGGGACAGCCACGGGCCCCCGAAACGGATTAGCGTGCCAAATGATCTAGATCCACCTGACAAGAGCAACACGTTTGCCAGGCCGTTCCCTACAGGACAATCAGTAGCCATGCAAGGAATATGCTCTGTATTGATGTTCAATATTGAGTTATCCAGGTATCTACAATACAAGAAGGAGCCGGAGAACGAGCTGGGCTGTTCAGCTGTTCATGGCTGGTTCGGGCGTCCAGAATGAAGTTTACTTAGAGTACTGAAACAAATCATTTCAGAAGGTTTACTGTGAAAGTCCCTGGATGAGATCCGTATTATACCGGGTATATTCCCTGGTGTTAGTTCTGCGATCGGAGCACGGATTGGTACCGATGTACAACTGTTTGCAGAGCCTCCTGCAGAGCATATTAGGATCATTAGAGTGGTAACCTCGGGATCCAGTGACAATCGTACTAATGTGAAGACCGTGATATGCAGGTAACAACAGATGATAAAAATACCCGACTACGTCAAAAACAGTATCAGTAGGCAGAACAGATACCGAACCCGTTCCTGGGAAGAAGGCAAGGCGTCATGCCGGATGGTCGAAGAATGACGGGAGAGATGCAGCGGAAATGGAAAGAAATGGCGGGGCAGGTAGCTCTGCCTCAGGCCCCGAGCCAGCACAACCCCACCCCACCTTAACTCACCTTCTTTCTGCTTTCTGCTGCCCACCGACTTCTGCCTCCTTCTCCCTATCCCGACGAATAATAACTTCAACGGCCTTGTCGCTGGACGATATTTTCTTTCGGTCCCCTGAATCCTGCTACTGTCTCTACTCAACTCGCTCGCCGTCACCTCCCAGGCGCATCCTCAACCGTTTCTCCCTTTCCACCTCCCCGCTACTTGTTTATCCAACCGTTACCATGGGTGCACACTCTGCTATCTGGCAAGGTAAGCCCTGCAGGACCGCTGTACGTTCTTTATTGAATTAGCTGTAGCTAACTCGTATCTGCTGTCTAGGTTATGTCGATTCCAGGTACCGTGCCTCCGTCATTACCCCGCCTCAACCAATATTGGAGCCCCCGCGACCTCCGCATTGATTCTGACATTCATTCACAGTTTGATGGGATCCGGCCAATTTGACAAAGCCGCAATCCTCAGCCCCGACTTCTCTGGCGTCGAGGCTTCATCCGCTGGCTTCTCGGTACTCTTGACCCTGCCCACCGCTCATTCGGTCTCCCTCCGATCGGCCGAACATTCTCCGGGATACCCGTCGCTAACGACGACTACAGATCACCCAACAAGAAATCCAGGGCATCGGATCTGCTTTTGGTGACAGCACCTACGCCATGCAGCACGGCTTCACAATTGGTGGAGAGAAGTTCCTCGCCATCAAGGCTGATGACCGTAGTCTTTACGGAAAGAAGGTACGTTTCGCGTTCCATTTAACTTAGCCCTGGGGGCATCATCCACAGTGCACAAATACTGATGAACTTCAACTTATAGGGTAAGGAGGGTGCTGTCATCGTCCGCACTGCCTCCTGCATTATGGTTGGCCACCACACTGAGGCCGTCCAGACCACAAACGCCGCTACTGCCATTGAGCGCGTTGCTGACTACATCAACGGTGCCAAATAAGCGTTGCGGTGTTGCATGTGGACTAGTCATGGGATCAGACAGACAATATGTTTGCCTAATGTAAATCACGATGGTGGTGCTTTCTTACGTCTTCTACTCTCTTCTATCTTCCAGCATCTTGCAAACCCGTAAATATGTGCAATATGTACTCTTCTAGTACAGAATGAATCCTCGTGGATGCTCTAACCTCTGTTATGGGGTTCTAGTACTGAAACCTCAATAATTAGCATCATGACCAATACTATCTGAGCGTTTTAGCTTCTTATGAAGTTTCTTGATTCGCGTTTGGTTTTATTTCTTCTGTACGTTTGTTCAACTTGCCTAGAATTCATTCCTATCTCATGATATTAAGCAGTGCACCGAGATTTCAGACCCCGGCATACCGCAGTCATTATAGTAGATATAATAGTACGTAATCGTAGTGATATAGACATTATTGAAAGACACCCTTTTCGCCCTCCAAATCTAGTTAGTTGCAGCCGGACCGCCAGTGGCAACGCTAGGTAAGACACCACGCCCAAACCCAGTTTTGACATGGCCCTTCTTGACCCAAGCGACCTGAAATAAAACCTGGAACCTAGCAGCCCCATGCACAAAAGAAAGCTGTGTAGGCACTAGTCATACTAAACCGGCAACTCAGCATTCCTCCTCCCACCTGCGAGCGTTTCCAAACCCCGCTGGATGAAGGGCCCAACAACTGGGATATTCCCAGCGAACTGGCCAATCGTGACCAAAAAGTCGCCAAAGAGGATGAAGAGGCCGTAAAGTTCAATCAGAAACCCGGTTAAGGGCCACCGGAGTAGGATCAGGATAATGCCGAGGGCGAATCCGGCAGTGCCCTTGAGCTTTTGGCGGCGCGAGAAGAACGCGAGGGTTTTTTCAAATCCAATTATAAGCGTTAGGCCGATTAGAAAGAGGATCTGGTTTGCGGGGAGTTTTGTTAGATGTATGCATGGACGGCATGGTTTATGCGAGGGGTTGGATTGGGCGTACGTTTCCCATCGCGAGTCTATAGAGGCGGGATTAGAGAATGTGCTCATAAATAAAAGAATGAAGAAATTGAGGGCGCTAAGTATACATACAATGATCGATCGAAGAACATGAGCACTCCACCGAATAAGAATAGGCCTCCTATAACCGTGCAACTGTTAGCGGTCCGAGGAGACTATATAGCACGGCGAACCACGGCGATTCCCAGGAGACTGAAAATGGTCAAACGTACCACCGGAGCAGAATATGACCCCAATTTCTGATCAGTAGAGACAGTCATTAGCATGAAAGCGTTCAAACAATGGCGTTCGGGAGCCGCATGAAGAAACCCGGGGAGTAGCCACTCTTACTTTGGTTATCTGTCATCCACATGGACGGCATCTTGGCGGTTGTTTAAGGCTTATGTGAAAGAAAATTATATGACGCGGTGTCCGAATTTGCAAGAGGTTGTAGGCGCGCGATGAACCCAAGATGGTTCCAGCAGGGAGCGGCGAGTCCTGAATTTTGTTAGAGGAAGTTAGCAATCCGCGCTGATAAGGAGCGGGTATGGGTGGGAGATCATGTCTAGATCGCCACATACTTGGAGAGTACAGCGGATGATTGGGCACGGGTTGGGATCGGGCTGGTACTATACCACGTCGACGGAGCTCTGGCAGAGTGTTTTGGCCAGATTTTCGGAGCTCTTGATCAGCAATCACTGCGATTGCGACGAATTGTCCAAAAGTTCTGCCATGTTTTTATCTTGGCATTCATACACTAAAGTGTAACAGGAAGGCGGTCTGTATCTACTTAACAACCACACAACATTCCACTGGCGGAAAAGCTCTTCTCGACTTTTCAATCAACCTGCGCTTCCGTCCGGCCCCGTATTTACGCACCATTGGATATTTGCTTCTACGATTGCATAATGGAGCAATCCACTGCAGGCAATTTACATCCCCAGGATACGACATAATGGTGAAGTTCAATTTCGGAATTGTGGCATCAAGAAGCCAAACTAGGTACAACCACAATAAACTACGAACTGTGTTATAAAGGGTTCGGAATTGCCGTCGAAATCGCTTCTCAGTACAAGATTTCGACCCTTCTTCTTTTCCCAATCCCAAGGCTGGTTGTCCAGCCTATCCGCCGCGGCAACGGCATCCTCGGATGCTGTAACTGATGTTCCGATCGTGGAGCGTCGGTATGAGTCGAGTGCTTCGAGCACAAGGCGAAGATCAAATGTTATAATATACAAGATCACGAATAAGCCGGAGCGCTTTCTTGAGCCTGTCTCGAAAGGGGCATGGTGGGTGGAAGAGCTTGACTTGGTTGGTCGTACATATCCTCGTGTCGGAGAAAGTAGCTTCTAGGGTCCATGAATGTTAGCTAGACCATAATGACAGTTCTATGGGAACTCTCACCTTGCCTCTGATGTCTTTTTTTATCGCACGAACGTTTCTTGGTGTAGAATTTGTAGCCCCTTATTTTAGAACAACGTGAGCGGCCCTGAGCTCAAGGTAGTTCTCAGGCACACCCTGCCCGAGTGTCCTAACCACGCCGAATACCTCTTTGTCGTGATACCTCAGCCGCGTCTTTGGGTCGGTGTATGCAGCCGGCAGTCCAGTAATGTCGCAATATGGCCGTTGCTGCGATGGGTGAAGCGAAGGAGCAGATTCAATGTTCGTGTAGGTTACGGTGGGACCTGAAGAGAACGCAGCGCGTGCATTCTTCTCTAGAACAAGTGTTTGGAGGCTCTGTGCGGCCTGAGCGATGTTTGCTCCGCGCTGGGCGCCCTCGGCAGGGGTCTGGCTCCCATCTGTGGTGGCGGAAGCTCCAGGGGTAGTTGCGCCGGAGTTTGCTTGCGTGGCCATCGAGGATGCCTCCCTTCTAGAGCTGTCGGAAAGTAGCTGCTTGACGTTCTTGTTTCGTCGTTGAGAAGGTTTCCAGGTCTGGCTTCGGAAGGGGCGTGGAACGGCCGCTATATCTAGCGAGTCCAGGAGTCGCTGATGAGCTTCGCTTTCGGCAGGGGTGGCAGGAGCCATGTTGGGAAGATTGATGGTTGCAGGCGACGCAAGCGATGGATATCGAAGTTAATGCGATCCTCTCAGTCGGAGTTGGAGTTGGCAGATTCTAGGTATCTTGGCCGCGGCGGACGAAGGATATGACGGCAGGAAGGCCGCAATTAAAATTCGGTGATTTGCGGATAGAATGTATATGTGGAAGCGTCTTGGGGAAAATGACAAGCCCTTCCAGTGAATGGTTTTGAATCAGGCAGTCTGCGAGATGACCGGGCCTGACCCAAATGCTCTCATCCGAGACAGGTCATGTGACCGTTCCGCATTGTCAATTACAACAACAAACATCCGCCTCCATCTACAGCAACCCAGTGATAACCGCGCAAAAATGGTAAGCATGGCGATGTAACATATTTATTTTATTTATGCTGTATGCTAATGACGGGGGAATACAGGAAAGTCCACACGAGCATCAGCAAGCCCTGCTTCTATCTCGGATTATCAACAACGTTGTATGTTCCCCACGTTAGTTCTCGTTTGCAGCTTGCACTGACATCCATTTAGGAAAAGCTGAACGAGGCTGTCATGGTCATGAATAAAAGTCTACAGGTATGGTTATCTGATGAGATTTCTCCCTCCTGTCTCTGACATTGCTCTTAGGAAGTAAACATTCAAAACATGAATGTCGAGCTTGTCGCACAAATGTTCAAGAACTATCAATCCAACGTACTATTCCACTTGGAGGGTATATTTTCCATTTCAATGAGGTATCCAGCGACCTAACTAATTGTCAATAGCCACGGAAAACCTCAAGGAGGCATCGTGACATATCCCCTTGTCAACGCTTTGATGATAATGCAGCAACCATAGATACCAATGAGTTTGATTTCCTAGCCATCAAAAAGTTTAAATGCACATTTGCCTGTCTGTAATCTGTAAGACAAAAAAAAAAAACAGTGGATTCCTTTGGCGTTCTGCTCTATAGCTACGTCGTTGAGATAGTGACACCAGTCTTGGCAATACAATGCCGGCGGTGGCCACTGGCCCAGACTTTCCATCGCGCCGGAGCTGGGGATTTCACCCGCCATCCATTGTCACCGCAAACCACCCCCCCCTCCTGGCCGACTCATATATCGATCGCACAATCCTCTCTCATCGACGATATAAAACCACCTTACTCCGCTGCCGCACGCAACGGGCAGCGATGCGGTGATCACTCTGCCTCAAAAGATCCTACTAAAAGATCCCCGTTTGACCAACGCCTCGCACCATGGCCATTACATCGGTGCAATCGATTCTGCCTGCTCGGTTCTCAATCAATTCAACGGAGCAGGGCGCCGTCAAGCCGCCTCCCAAGATCTTTGATGCTCACGAGCGTCCTTTCAAGGGCTACCAGCCGCCGCAGACTGATGGCTACGAACAGAGCAAATCCAAGCCCGATACGAGCGCTATCGTCATTGACAATGGTCAGTAGAACCTGATCAATGGCGCACACGTCTATAGTTCTTTACTAATCCCTGCCACTCTCTAGGCTCTCACCTCGTAAAGGCCGGCTGGTCGTTCGACAAGAACCCTCGTTTTGTACTACCCCCTGTGATGAGCCGATACCGGGACCGAAAACTGAACAAGGCCTGTCAATTCATCGGACATGATGCTTACATCGATGCGACTACGCGCGGTCAACTCCGGTACGCGTTCGACCCTGGTTCCAGTGTGGTGGGTAACTGGGACGTAATGGAGGGCGTGTTCGACTACCTGTTCATTAAACTTGGTATCGACGGGGCCAATGGGGGCGTTGACAGACCCATTGTCATGACAGAGCCTATTGCCAACCCGAATTACCCAAGGAGGAGTAAGAGCAACCCCATCCCATAGCGAGGGTTGCAAAGCCGATACTGATGTTTATAGTGATGAACGAGATCCTGTTCGAATGCTACTCCGCTCCATCGGTCGCGTACGGAATCGATTCTCTATTTTCCTACAGATATAATCGTGGAACGGATGGTCTGATTGTTTCTTCGTCGCATACCTCAACGCACGTTATCCCCGTCCTTAATTCGAAGGCAATGCTCTCCAACTGTTCGCGTTTGAATTTTGGTGGGATGCACGCTTCGGAATACCTCCTAAAACTTATGCGACTGAAATACCCAACGTTTCCTGGAAAGATGACGGATAATCAGATGGAAGAGCTTGTGCATAACCACTGCTACGTTTCAAAAGACTACGACCAGGAATTGAGCCGGTACTTGGACTGGACGGGCCTGGAAGACCGAGACCATGTAATTCAATACCCATTCACGGAGCATATTGTACCGGAGAAGACAGAGGAGGAGCTTGCACGAATCGCGGAGAGGAAAAAGGAGAGTGGCCGACGGTTACAAGAACAGGCGGCTAAGATGAGACTGGAGAAGTTGATGAAGAAGGAGCAGGAATTGGAATACTACAAGGACCTACAGCGCGGCCTCCAGTCAGAAACGAAGAAGGAGAAAGTTCGAATCTTGGATGCCGAGGACCTAAAGGATGAGGCGCATCTGGACCGGCTGATCCGGGATCTCGAGCGTTCTATCAAGAGGTCGAGAAACAAGGATCTCGGGAACGAGGAGACTGAAGAGGCGCAGGAGGAGACCACGTTCCCACTTCTAGAAGTCCCCGATGAGGAGTTAGATGAAGCAGGTCTAAAGGAGAAGCGTCACCAACGTCTGATGAAGTCCAACGTGGAGGCGAGACAACGAGCAAAGGAAGAGAAAGAGCGGGAACAAGCCCGCCGGGACGAGGAAATCCGGCTTGATCGCGAAAATCGTGAGAATAACTTTGACAACTGGGTCTCTGAACGGAGAGCTCAACGCCAGGTAGGTTGATTAAGTCATTCTACGGTATCTATGCTAACAAATTACCAGAACCTTCTTCAAAGAATCAAGGACCGCGACCGCATGAAGGCCGATCTCGGCAACCGCAAGTCATTAGCCAGTCAGATGCGCATGAAGACCCTCGCCAACCTCGCAGCGGACGGCCCGAAGAAGCGACGGAGGGGAGGGGATGATGATGATTTTGGAGCCAACGATGAAGACTGGGGTGTCTACCGAACGGTGGCCACTGGCGAGGCAAGCGACGATGAAGAGGAGGAAGACCTCGGTGGAATGCTCGACAACGTCGAGAAAGAGCTGCTGGAATACGACCCGGAGTTCACAGAAAACCACACGCTCGCAGCCCAGTCTGACTGGACGAAGAGTCTAATTCATGTGTTCCTGCGCGGCCCGTGGGCTTTCGACCCAGAGAGCCAACGGGAGGCCCACCAAATACATCTGAACGTCGAACGGATTCGAGTACCAGAAGTGGTCTTCAAGCCCTCAATTGCTGGAATCGACCAGGCGGGTTTGGTCGAGATCGCCGCTGATATTGTAAATCAAAGATTCCCGAACCCAGAAGAGCAGTCGAGATTACTACGCGATGTGTTCCTTACCGGTGGCAATACCCTCTTCCAGAACTTTGATGAACGGTTCCAGAACGACTTCCGGGCGTTCCTTCCTCTCGATGCTCAGCTGGGCGTACGGCGTGCGACGGATCCTATTCTCGACGCCTGGAAGGGAGCGGCGCAATGGGCTTCTGGATCGGCGCTGGCCAAGTCATCCATTTCACGCGAGGAGTACCTGGAAAAGGGCAGCGAATATCTCAAGGTAAGTTACTTTTCTCCACTTGCCACTACTGAACCTTCTAACTTGATGCACAGGAACACGATTTGGGCAATGTTACTTCGTGGTGAGGGCTCAAGAAGCACAGGGCGTAGGTTGGAGTCGGGAGTCGGGCAGTCAAGTTGTGTTGATTAAATATACTTTGTTATCCTTGCATCCTGTTGAAACATCTACCTAAAATATATTATTCTATGTATTTCCGACCCCCAGGATTTGAGTTTTGACAGGAGCTGAGGAATGAAGGGATGCACAAACTTTGTTCCTCTTCCTCGATTTACTGCAGCAGTGCAGTTTGTACTGTGTACTCCAAGCGATCTCTGCGTGAACACCGGCCCTAGATGGCATAGTGCTTTGGGTCGTCTTGATCTATCCTTGCCTTTGCGCCGCAAGCAAGGAGGCTGCATTTCCATGGTTAAGGAACCAAACCAGCTTTTCATATTCTTCTTTCTATTCATCCATCGCTTCCTCTTAGAGCCCAACTTTGTCGCTGTCGAGCAGGTGACGGACAACGTCACGGGTCTGACCAGTGGATCTTCAGCCTTGTGGACCTTCTCTCTTAGTTGTCTCTCCTCTTCCAACTCCTTCCCACGGCTCACTCCCGCCCATTTCTCAAAAATACACCCCAGACTTCCCGCGCGAAAAGCGGTGGATGGCGATCCGGCCTGGACTGATGTACGACTGATGTGATGATCGGAGGGCGAACTCCAATCGCGGCCAGTTGCGTGGTTTCGGCTCGGCTCAGTCGGATCTTGAATCTTCCCAGCTGCCACCCGGTATGCCATCTCATTATTATATTATTACCATATCGTTATCTAAACAATCCCGCTATATACCGGCAGTCGAGGTGATGGACCCATGGCTCCGGAAGTCATGCGATCCGCACATCGGCTTGGTCTCCATACTAGCCCATTGTGTTCTGCGGACCCTTCATGACAACAAAGCTGTAGCTCTGCATGCCCCTCTTTGAACCCCCCGGTCACACAACCACGCCACACACTGGCCAGTCGGTGCTCGACCCTGCTCGCGATAGGCCAATTAGTTTCCTTGTTCCAGCTCTTACGACCTCTGTTGGTCCGTCCGCACCCCTTGGCATTTATCTCGACTGTTCTATCCGGTCTCCATTATTTATCATGACGCAGACATGAGATGGAATGCCATGGACATGGCCCTCTCTCCGTCCGGAACAACTGTTGCAGTACCTCTTTCCAGCTTTAGCTTCGAGCTAGCGCATGAAAATTAAAAGGGATGCCGGGTTCTGGGCAATGGCAGGTCCGCCCCGACGTGGGCCTCCTGCAGCTGTCGGCACTGCCAAACCATCCTGACGCAAATCCTCCCTGGATAGCTGTTCCGTGGGATAGCCGAGACTAGACGGGTCTGATGCAATGAGTGTGGATGGATGTACCCCGAGATATAAAGCTTTGTGCTGCCCACCTGTCCCAGAAGGTTGTTTTGCTTTCACCCGTCCCTCTCATCTATATTGAGCGCAACCCTAGCCCTAGAACTATAACTCTCTTCTTAACCCAATTTAATTTTAAGTACTGCCAACATGCCATCGCGTCAGGCTCTTGCTCGGCCGGCATTGCTCATCGTCCGTTCTCTCCAATGGGCGAGCACAATTATCGTACTGGGGATTACTTCTTACTTCATCCACAGGGGCCCTCGTGGCGGGCATATAATTTACCAGGAGGTCATCGTACGTTGCACAAAAGACTTCTTATCTCCCCCCCGAGCTTAATACTAACCTGATGAAGGCTGCCCTTTCGGTCGTCTTCTTCCTACCGGCCTTCATCTCGCCGTTCATGCCTAACATACTCAGCCGATTCGTGTTCTTCATCGACCTGGTCTTCTCGTATCTGTATGTGCTGCCCCCCTGACCCCTAACCTAGAATCTTGAATACATGCTAACAATACCTAGCTGGCTCACTTCCTTCATATTTGCGGCCCAAGACTACAACAAGAACAACTGTTTCCTCAACGCACCTCCTTTCGTTAGTTGCGGACGCAAGAGAGCCAATGAGGCCTTTATCTTCCTCGCCTTGTACGTCATTCTATTCCACCCACAACTACCTAATCCCAATTGCATAAATCTTAAACCTAACATCCATCAGTATTTTCACGTTTTTCGGCCTCCTCCTTGAGCTTTGGTCCCTGTGGTCGTACCGCCGCGAGAACACCAACCCAATCGCGGAGAAGCATGCTCACGGTGCCGCCACTGCTCCTCATAATGGACACGACGGCCCAACCACCGCAGTCCCTTAAATCCATGCGGGAAAAAGGGCAAACCGCTGACCGTTTCTGAGAAAGTTGGGGTGAGGATTTCGGGCCATGCCAGTGACAAACCCTTGCTTCTCTCGGGATATCATACCGTGTTAACATGATGGACAACGACGATAATGCTTTTCTTTTGCCGTTGTTTTGGCTTTTTGGATACCTACATATATCGCCAGTTTCGTGCAGTGCATGTATCTGCTCCCTTATCGGTCTCGTTCAGAAGAGCTGCAATATTGCTTTGGATGGATAATTGTAATGGGGTGTCTGATTGTCTGGTGATGGATCTTGTATTTGTTCTTTTGGTTTGAGCTGAATCTTTGGGGATGGTGAGGGTTGAAGGATTTCGCTGTTTTAATATACCAACTATCGTTCATTAGTGTCTGTAATCGAATAGCAATTTGTTCAATGTGGTTCTCCTGTGCTAATACAAGGTTGTCCTGTGGTCTAAAGACGACTAATTACAAGGGGACCCAGGAATCCGATACATCAAGAAGATAAAATCACTCATTACAAAAGTGAATTTTCAGTTGAAATCCTGATTCCTGCAATCTCAGTGATATCATTATATCCAAAAAAAAAACTTGGCGATGCTACAAGTGGGACCTCCTAAATTGATCATCAAGCTGCAATAAATACTAGCTTCTATTCTACAGAGGCCTGTTTTGAATAAACCCATTATCTCAGATCCATGCTAGCAGGTTTAAAAAAAGAAAGCTTCAGCACTTAACCTTCGTTACATAAGCCACCTTTCTGAGCTGGGAATTCAAGTACATTTCAAATATATACAAATATACTGAAAAATCTCCTGAAAACAGTATCTTGATTTTATCTTTCAGCCGAAGTACTTACGGAGTAGTAAGGGTATAGTTCTAAATAAGCATGACAATGGCTGACCTAATCTACCCCACATCCTGTGACAACACTAATCTCCTTTTGGATTCGCGACTCACCGCCCCGCATCTGCCACTTCTTCTCGCTGCCTGAGGTTCGATGCACTGTCCAGACAACGTTGAGGCTGCTTCTTCAAGCCTTCAATTCAGGAACAGGAAACGGAAACGAAGCCAGGCGAGCAGCTACAAGCCACATATCGCGGGACACCATGTCGTCCCCATTTCATCGTCGCCCGTTCCCCGATTATATCCTCGCTTCGCCGCTTGCCGCCTTCCTCTACCCCTTCCACCACCTACTTCTGCGACTACGCGGTCCTCCTCGATTGCCGCCTCCAGATGCCCGTCCCCTCCGAGTGGTTTGCATCTCCGATACCCACACCCTCGAATGGGCAGATGTCCCTGATGGTGACCTTCTTATCCACGCCGGCGACCTGTGCAATGATGGTAGCGCCCGCGAGATCCAGGCCGCGGTAGACTGGTTGCGCAAGCTTCCCCATCCTCAGAAAGTCGTCATCTGCGGCAACCACGATAGCTATTTTGATATCCGATCAAGGCTGCCTGAAGACCGTGACCAGTCGTTTGCTGCTGTTTCCTCATCAACAGCCTCCCTTCGCTCCGTCGACGACTTTGACTCCCCGCACCGCATCGACTGGGGTGATATCCACTATCTCCAACATTCTTCCGTCACTCTGACCTTCCCTCCTACTTCTCAAACTCCTTCCGACACTTCCGCGTTACTGGCCTCGCGCCCTCGCTCGCTTAACATATACGGGGCTCCCCAAATACCCGCCATCGTCCCATTTGGCCCTGAACACGCATTCGCATACCCTCCCCATCATGACGCCTGGTCCGGCACTATCCCGGCAAACACCGACATCCTGATCACCCACACACCCCCGCAATCCCACCTCGATCTTTCACCGGTGTATTCTACCGGCTGCCCGTTCCTCCTATCAGATATATGGCGCGTTCGACCGGCGCTTCACGTCTTCGGACACGTCCATGCTGCCTACGGTCGGGAGTCCATCTTCTGGGATGAGGCTCAGAAAGCGTGGGAACGCATCTGTACCGCGCGTCGGCCCCGCGCAGGGAACTCACGTTTCAGTTCTCTTTTCGGATTTCTGCGGGACCTCTTTGACATTTCCGGCTGGGTCGACTCCGCGAGAGTGCTGGCCTACGGCGTATTAGGAATCATATGGGCCAAAGTCTGGGGCGGCGAAAATCGGGGAGGATGGGTGGTGAATGCAGCATGCATGTACCGGGATTCAGGCAAACTGGGAAACAAACCGCAGGTTGTAGTCCTGTAGACCCGTCCATTCAACTCCCATGATGTTGGCCGTCATTGTGATGATGTATATATGCATTTTGTCTAGCGTTGTTACCCGTACTCTCATTAGGTTCCATAATCATAATCCAACATGTGTCACGACCAAAAGCCATCGGCAAAACCCAGTCTGCATAAACATTTAAAGCTTGCTACGTTAGTGTTTAAGTCAGCACGGCAGATGCGTTGGTTACAGACTACAGGGCACAGGGTACTGTGTACTCTGTAAATGGACAGTGCGATGCCACAGGCAACGAACGAGCAAGCGCATCACAACACAACATCCATCTGACTAATAACCACCACCACCTCGTGCCCAAAGTCCAACAACAATTAATATCGCGTCCCAAACTCAGCACAACCAAAGCAGAAAAAAAGTCTCAACAATGACGTCGCTCGCACCGCGCGTGGTCCAATTCCAGCAAACAAGAGCCAGTGATGATCGCCCTCCGGCGCAAAAAAGTCCCGCGCTCTCCACCATAGCAACCCCACCAGATCCACGTACTCATCCACCGCCATGTCTGGTCCAGTCCATCTAGCAGCGAGAATCAAAGGCGCTAGTCCCGTGCGGGCGTTTGGACGAGCTGCCAAATCATGTTTTCCTGTTTTGTCCTTGGGTCCCGGCGCTCGGCACGGAGCTTAATTTAGTTAAGCCCCGCGAAGGATGCTTAGGGGCTTGGCTGGCTTGGCTGGCTTGGTTGCCTGAAGAGTTTGCCCGTTACGGATTGGCTACGATGTGGAAGGTCGAAGAATGCGTGGTGCGTACGTGAGGGGATATGATGGGGATGCGATATCGCGGGGTGATGGAGGGGGAGATCGTGCTGTGGTGGCGATGCTTATGCTGAGGGGTTCGGTGCACAAGGTTAGTATGTCCGACGAGCAGTCATACCTTCAGTATCTGACAGTTAGGAAAGAGTCGGCAGTCTTATAAGTCTCGCATCTTCCACATCTTCCGCGTTTATGTGGGCCGGAAGGATATATCTCGGGGGCACTGTCTCAGTCTGACAAGCTTGGACATTGATTCTGGAGACTGATAGTCTGCAAGGTGGACTGCCGATTCAGATTTGAACGACAGATCGTCATATCTCATTGCGGGTGCACTGTGCTAAAAGAGGATAATGCATGCACTACCGACCAGGCTGCCGCTTTTTTACTTCGAAGACGTTGAAACATTGATAATTGAGAAGAAGAGTGGACATCGTTGCAGCCGTTATAGTTGGCCACACCGACCTGAGTAGGGTGCTCCATCGCCCATGCAGCAAGTGTCCGAGTCTGAGTGAGACTGTACTCCGTATGGAGACGAAACCACAACTGGATATTTGATGGGTGAGTGGACCGGATACTCGCGTCATGCCATTTGCTTCCCACTTGTTCCATATATGATAGAACCCGAGAGCAGAGATCTCCTTCATTAGGCGAATATCAGAGTGCCGTGGCAGAGTCGCCTTCGAGCGAATGTATTCGGCGACCAGGCAGATCTGTAAGCAGCACAATCCAAACAATTCAATTGGCGAGCCATGACGTGAATTTAAGGAATGTGAATAGTGGCGGGAGCGTCGGGAACGGCTTCCCGACCAACTCCCGAAGGGATGCGCATGCCCC